GGCGGTACGTATGCACATACATATATGTATGTATGTATATACGTATGCTTTATACATAGTATAAAGAGGAAACAAAATTAGCACAGTTTAAATACATACAAGTAAATATGCAGCTCAATTGAGTATGAAAATTTCAGTGTGATCAGATAACGTTATTCATATTGATTTTGATAAACATATTTTATGTTGCTGGCTTATCCGCTGCTGCTCCGAACATCCTCCCCGCCGTTGAAAGGTCAGGGCTTTCAACAGAATCCTTCACCGGGAGGACACACAGCTTGTTCACGGCTCGTCGCGTTATGCCGCTAGATGTTTTTAAAAGTGCCACACGTACGACACCGTCTGCTCCAGGGACAACTTCGATTACCCGTGCTAGAGGCCACTTCAGTGGTGGTGAGTTTTCTTCCTTTATGCATACGACATCATTGACTTGAATGTTGGCATGAGGTAAACGCCACTTTGCGCGTTGCTGTAGAAGAGTTAGATACTCTTGAGTCCACCGCTTCCAAAAAACCTGTTTAATGTATGTTGTACGCTGCCATCGATCAAGTCGGTCGTAGTTTAGCGTCGTTAGATCCGGTTCCGGAAGAGCTGTCAGAGAACCACCAATCAAAAAATGGCCTGGCGTTAGCACATCTAAATCCTCTGGGTTTTCTGAAAGGGGTACGAGAGGACGAGAGTTAATTACAGCACAGATTTGACATACCAAAGTACGCAATTCATCGAAGCCAAGCAGTGATGAGCCAACGGAATGATAGAAATGTTGTTTGGCTGTTTTTACGGCCGCTTCCCACAAACCGCCAAAGTGCGGAGAGCGAGGTGGGATGAAACGCCAATCAAAGCCATTACTGAGGCAAAAGTTGTAGACTTCGCTGCGGTGTTTCTCGCTGAGGGCTAAGTTCCGTAGTTCCTTAAGCTCGTTCTTGGCGCCTACAAAATTCGTCGCATTGTCAGACCAGATGCAGCTGGGTATGCCACGCGTAGCGATGAATCGTTTTAGCGCGTCAATGAAAGCACCTGTTGAGAGGTCTCTTACCAACTCCATCCATACAGCCTTTGTGGCGAAGCAAATGAAAACGCTTACATAACATTTGTGGGGCGATTTATTGCGTACTTCAGGCTTGTAATAAAATGGCCCACAGTAGTCCACACCGGTGACTATGAATGGGCGCGAGGCCTGAATTCGCTCTTTAGGCAGGTCGGCCATTATGTGCTCGACAAGGCGCGGTCTCGATTTGCAGCAAATAATGCATTTTTGTAGGACTCGAGTGACTGTTTTCCGACCACCTATGGGCCAAAACTGCATTCGAATGAAGGCGAGTAAAGCTTGAGGACCTGCGTGATGTTGTTTGCGATGAAAAAAAGGTTATTATACTAAATGTCAGTGGATGATCCTTCGGAATAATGCATGGGTGGCGCGATTCAAAACTAAGCATAGAGTTTTTTTAATCGCCCGCTGACTCTAATAATTCCAAAGTCATCAAGAAATGGTGATAGCGAAACAATGCTGCTCGAACTCGGGACGCAATTATTGGCCTGTAATGCCGTGTACTCCGGCCAAAGTTGCGCTCTTTGTACTAAGCGAATAAGCAGTTGAGTTCCATGGTGAATACCTGCGGCTGTGAGCTGCGAAGAGCTTGGCGATGTTGTAATATTGACAAATTTGCTGACGTACCCAAAAATGCGCTGCATTGTTCCAAATGAATTAATGTACTTGAACGAAAGTGAAATGTCATTGCGGTTATGTGCGGCAAGCAACACCTTTTGTCGAAGTTCTGGAAGTTTTGGTTGTGGTAGACACATGCGCGGCCAGCTGCCCTCCACTTCTCGCAAAAATGACGGGCCGTGCATCCAAAGTGAAGATCCTAGAAGTTCCTGCGGGGTAGCTCCTTTGGATAAAATGTCCGCCGGATTCATTGCTGTCGGAACATAGTGCCACCGCATGCCCTCCGTTAATTGATGTATGGTGGAAATTCGGTTAGCGACAAATACGTTAAATTTCGATGGTTCTTCTCGCAGCCACGAGAGGACAGTGGAGGAATCTGACCAACAATGAAATGAACAGTTAAAAAGCTTCATTTTTGTAAACTCACCCATGAGTTGTGCCAGCAGTGTTGCTGCACAGAGTTCCAGCTTGGGCACGGTGATAGTCTTCAGTGGAGCGACACGGGCCTTCGAACACAACAGGTGCACTTGTACCTTACTATCCTTGGCTGAACGCGTATAAACGCAAGCCCCATAAGCTTCAAGGCTTGCATCGCAAAATGCATGAATTTCTGTAATGGCCCCAGGTTGCAAGACGTAACGAGGAAATGATAGGTGCTGTATGTATGCAAACCCGCTGCAAAAGGCAGACCAGGCGGTGTTTAACGATTGCGGTAGACTCTCATCCCACTCAAGCTTGTCTCTCCACATGCGTTGCAGAAGAATCTTCGCCTTGGACAGCGTAGGGCCCATTAGTCCAAGGGGATCGTAACAGCGAGCTAGAGTAGACAACGCAGAGCGTTTTGAGTTTTTACCGAGTTCTCGTTGTGGCACAAACGAAAATAGCAGCTTGTCCTTGACCGGATCCCAAACTAGTCCCAGAGCTTTGGTGATGTCACTGCCATCGTCAAACTTAAGGAAACGTTCCTTGTCTACGTCAGGTATATCACGAAGGATATCTGGACTATTAGAGCACCACTTGCGTAACTAAAAGTTTCCTCGAGCAAGGAGGCTAGTTGTTTGTAGCTTGATATTCAGTACTTCTTCCATCGAATCGCCTCCAGATATCAAGTCATCTACGTAGAAGTCTCAACGCACTATTTCTGCACCAATGGGGTAAGTCAAGGATTCGTCAGCTGCGAGTTGGTGCATGGCACGTATGGCCAGAAATGACGCAGGCTTAGTTCCATAAGTCAGCGTGTCTAACTTATAGATGGCAAAGTTTTCCTGAGGAGATTCACGCCACAATATGCATTGGAGCATGCTATCTGGTGGGGTGACGCGAACACACCTATACATCTTACAGATGTCCCCAGTAAGTGCTATGGGAAAAGTACGAAATCTAATAAGGATATTAAAAAGTTTCGGCTGAATAGTTGGGCCTGCCATGAGTAGGTCGTTCAGCGAAAAGCCCGAAGTAGTGGATGCAGAGCCATCAAAAACCACTCTCAGCTTTGTTGTGCTACTGTCATCCTTGATGACGCAATGATGCGGCAGAAAATACTTGCATTGTTGAAAAACCTCATTGGTAACTAGCGACATGTGATTAAGGTCCAGATATTCCTTTATGAACTTACTATATTCTGTTTTAAGCTCAGGGTTACGAGCGAATTTTCGTTCAGACTTTCGAAGCGTTGACGAGCTTGCAAATAGGAGTCTCCAAGGGCCTCCATACCACGCTTCATGGGAAGACGAACTGAGTATTCGCCTGATGACAATCGCAAATAATTTTCCCGGAAGTGGACTTCGCAGTCGATATCTTCTTGGGAGGCCTTAGAGATCGGCTCGAAGCTGTGCTCTATTTCCCAGAACTGACGCACTAAATCTTCCAACCGAGTGGAAATAATATCACTGGAGGACTCCGTCGCACCACAAAAGATGATAGTTTTGGAGCTTGTTGCCCCCCCTCCAGAAAGCACCCAAACGAGGCGTGTTTTCTGAAGGAGTGGTAAACCATATGCCAAGCGTATCTGCCCCACACATAGCAGATCGAAGAACAATGCTGCTCCAATGAGCAGATCAATTCGCTGCGGTAAGTTGAACCCAGGATCAGCTAGTTGTATATTCGACGGAACATTCCACTCGTTGGTGCTCACGGAGCAGCCAGGCTGGTTGTCGGTTATGGTTTGCACAACAACAGCTGTTATGTTTGTTGAGAAATCTGAAGTCCGCGACTTCAGTACGAGGTCGACTGAGTAACCCTCCGTTGAGAAATTGGCATCTCCAATGCCAGATACTGTAGCAGAAGATTTTGCTTTTACAAGCTGCAATTGGTTTGCAAGGCGAGTTGTGACAAAGTGTAACTGGGAGCCAGAATCTAAAAGCGCCCTGCAAGGCACGAAGCTTCCAGCACGATTTTTTACCAGAACGACGGCAGTAGCTAGGAACACAGCATCAGAAGGAGATACTGGGGCACTAGGCGACACAGATAGCGATGTAGTCATAGCGTTGGATTGAACTGTAGCTGCCGACGAAGCTTCGGCTTGACTATTGATTAACGATGCAGTTGAGCGTTCGAAATGCAAGAGCGTGTGGTGTTTCGACTGACAGGCGCGGCACGATCCGGATTTGCAGTCACGAATTTGATGCCCAGTCTTTAGGCAGTTAAGACAAAGGGAAAGCTTCTTAACTTCCCTCAGGCGTAAGTTCGGAGACAAATTTGCGAAGCGTTGACAGCTATAAATTGCATGCTCGGCAGATCCACAAAACACACAAACACCTTTTGAGCCGTTGGAAGCAACAAAGGATTTCCTCTGACCAGTACTTACGTTCTTGTTAGCTTTTACCGCCTGACCAGTCGGTGTCTGCATAGAATGCTCAACGTTCTCGAGTGTTCTGCAGCGCTTCTCCAAGAACATAGCTAATTGATCCCAGGATGGCAGTTCGCTGATCGATGAACTCTCCTCCCATTTAGCTTGCGTCTTTTTGTCGAGTTTCTGGATCACCAATTGTACGATGATGCCATCTGCGATCTTCCCATTGGATGCGAGCGACTGCAATGCGCGTATGTGTGCTGTGACCTTATCTGTCAGCTCTCGTAGCTTGGTTACGTTTGAATCTGCCCTCTCTAGCCCAAATATCTCCCTGACGTGTGCCTGAAATATAAGACGTTTGTTATCGAAGCGCTTTTGTAAAAGATCTAATGCAGTGTTATAATTAGCGTCGTTTATTTCCAGCGAGCGCACGGTGTCAAGGGCAGCGCCGCTCAGACAGGAACGAAGATGCTGCAATTTGTCGATGTTGGTGAGGTCGCTGTCCTTGTCGATTATTGACGTGAACATTGAATAGAAATTTGTCCACTCGGTGTAGGCGCCACTGAATTTAGGCAGGGTCAGCAATGGCAAGCGTGAGCTATTAGCGTTCACAATGATTGATTGGGTCTCACTGGAGTTCATTCTGAGCGTGGAGCAATGTTGCGAGGCACTACGTTTACCAATCTCGCGTTGCAGTGTAGCTCTAAGGTTAATTAGAGCAGCATCGAAGTTACTTGGCAGGTCGCTGGCAATGGAGTCGAAGTCCAGTTCCTCTAGGCTTGTGTGTGCGGCAGAAAAACTGGATTTCAATTCGCCTAAGGATTCTAGCATTGCTGAAAGACTGTACTCATCCATACTGTGTAGCTTGTCTGCGTCCAACTCGTTAATCAAGCTCTCCAGTCTGCTGAATATGGCCTTTGTTTTCAGCTTTAGAAAGGCTACTCGATCTGCACCTTCCCCTGGCATGACGAAGTTGCTGACGTTTACACTAGTGTGGCAGAATTATCTCAGTAAGCGGCCGGAAACAAACGAAAAATCGCGTGATACGATCACGTCGGGGTCACCAAATGTTGAGCTACTAAGCCCTTTTAGCAGCTATTAAAATAAAACAAACG